CAGTGTTGTATATGAGTATATCATCAAAAAAATACTCATACAGAACTTACACAAACACTCCTTGAACACCTCATTCATCAACAATTGGAAGGTAGAGGGGGAGTTGGTCAAACCAAATGGCATCACCATGAATTCATAATGACCCTCATGCATTTTGAAAGTGGCCTTATGATCATCTCCCACTTTAATCCGAATCTGGAGGTAGCCAGATTTTAGGTCCAGTTTTGAAAGTAAATGGTCACTCCTTTGAATTGACCTAGCAATTCGTCAATAGCAGGAATTGGAAATTTGTCTAGAACTGTAATTTTGTTCAACACCTGTAATTGACACAAAATTGCCCAACTCCCATCCTTCTTTTTAACCAATAGGATAGGATAGGGCTTAAGTAGGCGCCATTATTGGGTTGTATACTTCGGGCATCTAGCATCTCTTTCACTATATTTTCTATTTCATTTTTCTACAAGTGAGGGTACCGATGGGTTCAAATGTTCGATGTCTACTCCTCTAGCTTGATTTCAATTGCATGATCCTAAGGTCAAGGTGGAGGTAACCCTTCAAGGGCTCGCCAAACTTCTGGAAAATTTTTCAGTAGTGCTTGAACTCCAAGAGTTTCCCCATTCCCTTCTTCACTCACTAAGCCATTATACTTGATCAAGTACCCTTCCCCTTTTTCTTCCCTAATCGCATTAGAGACTTGAAAGTTGTTTGATTCTTAGATAAGGTAAGATCACCCTATAAACAAACCTCGTCTCTCCCCTTGCCAATCTTCATTGTTAATCAACTCCAATTCATCTTCACTTCTCCTAGTGATTTCAACCACTCAACTCCTAGGACAGCATCCACACCAACAACAACAACACAAAAACCTTTATCCCACTAGGTGAGGTCGGCTACATGAATTGCAAGACGCCATTGTGCTCTATCATTTATCAAGCTTTTAGGAATATTATTAATTAAGAGATCGCGTTCAACAACTTCCAAGAGTGTTCTCTTAGGCCTTCCTCTACCTCTTTTAATCGGACTCAAAGTTATATGTTCCACTCTTCTCACTGGTGCCTCCCTTGGTCTTCTTTATACATGCCCAAACCATCTCAACCGATTTTCTACCATTTTTTTCCTCAATAGGTGCCACCCTCACTTTTTCGCGTATGTGCTCATTTCGAATTTTATCTTTACGTGTATGTCCGCACATCCATCGTAACATTCTCATCTCTGCTACTCCAACTTTATGCTCTTGCTGTCCCGTTAGAGCCCAGCATTCACTACTATATAACATTGCCGGTCTGATAGCAGTGCGATAAAACTTTCCTTTAAGTTTATTGGCACCTTACGGTCACAGATAACTCCTTTAGCTTTTCTCCAATTAAACCACCCAGCTTGAATTCTATGTGAAATATCTCCACTGATTTTGCCATCATTTTGAATAATGGCTCCCAAATATCTAAACTTTTTCACTTGAGGTATAATTTGATTTCCCAATTTCACTTCCAAATTATTGTCGAATAGTCCTTTACCAAATTTACAATATAAATTATCCATCTTACTTTTACTCAGACGAAAATCTTTCGACTCCAATGTCCTCCTCCATAACTCAAGTTTGCAATTAACCTCTTCTCTTGTCTCTGCTATAAGAACTATATCATCCGCGAAGAGCATACATTTCGAAATTTCCTCTTGAATATGTTCCGTCAAAACATTTAAGATCAAGTTGAACAAATAAGGACTCAGAGATGATCCCTGATGTAGTCCAATTTTATAGAAAAATCCTTTGTTTGACCACTAGGCATTCTTATACTAGTTTTTTACCCCCTCATACATATCTTGTATGGCTTTAATATAAGCAATCCGTACTCCTTTTTTTTCCAACGCTTTCCAAAGCACTTCTCTTGGTATACGGTCATAAGCTTTTTCCAAATCAATAAAAACCATGTGCAGATCTTTATCTTGACAACGATACTTTTCCATTAATCCCCTTAGTAGATAAATCGCCTCTGTAAGATCTACCTGGCATAAAAAACCAAATTAATTCTCAGAAATACTTGTCTCCAATCTTAACCTATGCTCAATTACTTTCTCCCACAATTTCATTCTGTGGCTCATGAGTTTAATCCCTCTATAGTTAGTACAATTCTGAATATCTCCTTTATTTTTATAAATAGGAATTAATGTGCTTCTCCTCCACTCATCAGGCATTTTTTTGGACCGTAAAATCACATTAAATAACTTAGTTAACCATCTCACCCCTTCTTCACCTAAACATTTCCACGCTTCGATAGATACACAATCAGGTCCGTTGGCTCTACCATTTGCCATTTTCTTAAGAGCTTCCTTTACCTCCTTATCACGTATTATTCGATAGAATGATAAATTTTGTTCTCCTTCACCAGTTACAAAATCCTCCAAGTTACTAGATGAATCCTCTCCATCATTGAAAAAGTTTAGAAAAGTAAGTCTCCCATCTATTTTTAATTTCATCATCTGTAACTAAAATTCTTCCCTTTCATCCTTAATACACCTTACCTGTTCTAGATCTCTTGATTTTCTTTCCCTACTCTTGGCAATCTTATAAATATTTTGCTCTCTTCCTTCGTCTCAGGCTCTTATAAAATTCTTCAAAAGCTTTAAAACGAGCTTCACCCACAGCTCTCTTAGTTTCCTTCTTAGCCATACGGTACCTCTCCCAATTTTCCTCATTGTTACACAAATGTATGGCTTTAAAACAGTTCTTCTTATACTTGATTTTGTCCTGTACACTATTATTCCACCACCAAGACTCCTTATCTCTCGGACCAGAACCTTTTTGATTCTTCCAAAACTACTTTTGCAACCTCCCGTATCTTTTTCGCCATATCCTCCCATATGATGTTAGCACTTCCCTTAGATTCCCAAATTCCTTTATCCAAAAGATTTCGCTTGAAAATATCTTGCCTCTCACCTTTTAATTGCCACCACCTAATCCTTGGTGCTACTACTTGTCGACGTTTTTGAATTTTACTCATAATACACACATCAAGGACTAGGACCCTATGTTGTGTCGTTACAGCATCTCCGGGGATCACCTTACAATTTTTACAAAGTCTTCTATCTGTGTTCCTAACCAAAAGAAAATCAATCTGTGACCTTGAGGCTCCACTTTTGTAAGTGATGAGATGCTCATCTCTCTTCTTGAAATAAGTGTTGGCAAGCTTAAAATCATACGCCAATGAGAAATCAAGAAGAGTTTGTCCTTCATTGTTTAGCTCTCCAAAACCAAAACCACCATGCACCCTCGCATACTGACCAGCTTCCCTCCCGACATGCCCATTAAAGTCTCCTCCAATAAAAATCTTTTCACTCTGTGGTATGTGTCGAATCAACCCCTCCAGATCCTCCCAAAATAATTCCTTAAGACTGGCTTTTGTCCCGACTTGCGGCGCATAAGCGCTAACAATATTAACAGTCTCACGTCCAATTATCATTTTTAAAGAAATAATTCTGTCTCCAATTCTGCTAACTTCTACAACGTTCTTCTTCCACTCCTTACCTATAATGATGCCTACTCCATTGCGTGCACTTACTTTTCCTGTATACCAAAGTTTGAAACCTTGAATATCCTTAGCTTCTTCTCCCGCCATTTTGTTTCTTGCAAGCAAAGGATATTGATTTCCTTTGAATCATAACCCCTACAACCTCTACAGATTACAATTTAATGTCCCAACATTTCAAGTACCAAATCTAATTTTGCTCTTATGGACTAACTTCTTTAGCCGCGTGCGTCCAGAATGACGCGGTAGCCCTTGCTCATTTAACACTACATCCGGGCGCCGATGCAGCGGCTCTAACTCACTTATCACTGTACTCGAGCCATGCAGCGCGTTACTTACGGGCAACGACCTAGCATTAACATTATAACGTCTATTGTCCATGTTCATGATAGATTCAACAAATTTTTACATTGGCTATTGATGGCCTAACACAACCCTCCTCCTTTACCCGGGCTTGAGACCGGCTATAAACATAGGCGGAGAGTTGCAACCTTGAAGGAAAATTTATCCGTGGCACAAGTAAGATGAAACAACAAGCTGATAGTGGAGATTGATGCAACAATTTGTTAAGCAAAAATTTAGATTTTGCTTTTATAGTATCCTTAGTCACTTAACAGTTTTTAAAAATTTATTAGAAGGAAAAATGTGGTAGTGTCATTTCCTAAAATCCTTTTTTACTTAAAAACCTTTTCCTTGAAGGAAGAAGGAAAACTGAACCGTACTATTATGTTCAGTCAAAATTTTTGAGAATTTCCTGGAGTCTTCTCTGATTATTTCAATATGGCATACAAAGATAAATAGGATTCTGTGTTAATATAAGATAATTGAAAAGTCAGGGAAAAAGAAAAAAGCAACGATACAGCATAGTCAAAGCAAGTAAAACGCTAAAATAATCAGGATACAAAAAAGAATGATAAACTCAGATCATATGGGCTAAATATTGGGCCCACAGTGCCATTATAAATATTGCTAATAAGCTTTATCCCTAAATATTTGTTGGTTATTATATGTTATAAATATTTTATAGTATATGTTGTTGTTGTTATTATTATTATTACTTAAAAAGAAAAAAAGGTCAAATATGATCAAACTGAAGCGGGTTAAACTAAATTGAAACATGTTTGTTGTGTGGTTTAATTTTGATAAAAAAGCCCTGAAACTTCTATAAATTAAAAAATCTAGGTGTGAACTAATGATGCTCTATTCCACATGCTAGTTGTTACAAGTTTCATGGCTGTAATGTTTTACTGATGGATTGTCATCATTTTTAAATAACAATGCCACATCCAGTAGGATTGTCGATTGAACATAATTTCCAGTGATGTAATGAAGTGAGAATTTCTTTCAGATCTCTAATTAATCGTGTCATTTTTCCATGGCCTGATGAATTATAAGATCATGACCGATTGTGTGTTGATTAAAGGCCACAAATTAACTGTAATATCTTGTCCTGAGTTTGCATTATATTTCTTCCAGAGAACTTTAAAGCAGTTGATATCTGCTCTGATGCTAGAGAAACTTGCTATAACTGGTTTAGCAAAATTGGTTCTGTGCGAGAGCTTCTTCCACGCATGTAAATTCCTGATCCTTCATGACGTATTAAGTCTATTCTCTCTCTTTTTCTAATAAAATTAGTTCTGTGACTTTTTCCACTGTTTGAAACTTTCTGACCTCTATTTCAGATAACAATCTCTTTCACTGCTGCAAATCTTAATTTTAGATTTAAGAAACTGTTGCTTTTGTGGAAAACTATATACATATAGAGTTCCATGATCTTAAACTAAATGCACTGTAGTCTTATTAATGGCCATGCTCCTATGCTGCACTTATGAGACTGAACATTATAATCCAAAGGAGATAGTTCTGTCAATTATGAATTACTCCCTTTGGACCATGATGTAAGTCATTGTCTAAAACTTGCTTTATCTAAAACATAGGACATTGGGTAGGTGTTATATTCTTTTCCAATTACACCTTTACTTTATTGAATAATTAATGAGGTGTTTTTGAATAAGCCAAATGTTATATTTATTACTTTCAAGGGCATGATTGTAAAGATGTAGAAATTTTTAGAAAATCAAGATCTTAACCAACATTTTTGATAAACATAAATTAATTAACATTAACAATACATATATTGTAGTCCAGAGGGAGTATAAATTAGGAGCATGGAGGCTCAATGTATGTGGAATAATTTTTTCGGGAATCTGGATGTCGAGTAAGTGCGTGTGCAAGTTGTAAAGATTTCTGGCACTGACATGACGATGTTATTTATTGGCATATGTTTATAGTATTGTATAGTTATTCATGATTAACTCTCAATTTGTTTCATAATCCTCTATGTAGTGCTAATTCAATAGAATATCCCAACTTTTTTCTGGCTAGTACTCCATAAATATTGTGTAAGGCTTTTTCCAAGAGACTCTTTCATGTGATAACCTTTTTTTGTTAGAATTGTTATAGACCATCAAGGTTACATCTCCCTGATGGCGATTTATGATGTTTGTTTCCCTGGAATTGTGCTGTAGTTACTTGGAGCTGGCAATATTACCTTGCTGGCGTTTTCTTCTTGACGAGCCTCTGGATAGTCTGAAGCGCTTGGTAATGATGACCAGAGGATTAGGAGATCCAGTGGCATTTGCTTATTGTCATCTATACATGGCTCACTGCGCCCAGAAGTTACCTTCACATGATATAGGTATAACTATCTTATAACATTAATTTAAGGTTAAGATTTATAAAATATTTTCATCTGGAGAAACATTTGGACACTTTTTGATTAGTAATATAAGCTATGAAGATAATGGTGTGAAAACACACAGAGGCAGATATATGTGTGCGTGTTGTGTGTGTGAAACTGAAGAGAATATTTGAAGAAAAATTTCTTATTGATGATAATACTTAAGTGGAATTATACTCTATATACGATACCATAATGTGCGAGGAAATGAAATGGATGTCGAGTAAGTGCGTGGTGCAAGTTGTAAAGATTTCTGGCACTGACATGACGATGTTATTTATTGGCATATGTTTATAGTATTGTATAGTATTCATGATTAACTCTCAATTTGTTTCATAATCCTCTATGTAGTGCTAATTCAATAGAATATCCAAACTTTTTTCTGGCTAGTACTCCATAAATATTGTGTTAAGGCTTTTTCCAAGAGACTCTTTCATGTGATAACCTTTTTTTGTTAGAATGTTATAGACCATCAAGGTTACATCTCCCTGATGGCGATTTATGATGTTTGTTTCCCTGGAATTGTGCTGTAGTTACTTGGAGCTGGCAATATTACCTTGCTGGCGTTTTCTTCTTGATGATGACCAGAGGATTAGGAGATCCAGTGGCATTTGCTTATTGTCATCTATACATGGCTCACTGCGCCCAGAAGTTACCTTCACATGATATAGGTATATAAAAATCTTATATAACATTAATTTAAGGTTAAGATTTATAAAATATTTTCATCTGGAGAAACATTTGGACACTTTTTGATTAGTAATATAAGCTATGAAGATAATGGTGTGAAAACACACAGAGGCAGATATATGTGTGCGTGTGTTGTGTGTGAAACTGAAGAGAATATTTGAAGAAAAATTTCTTATTTATATAATACTTACAAGTGGAATTATACTCTATATACGATACCATAATGTGCGAGGAAATGAAACTCATCACTGTTCAGCGAACAACAACAAGGATAGAATTTGAAATAATAAATTTGTGCTTTAATTATTGAATATTACTTAATTTCAATAAAAATCATAGCTTCCTGTCATAGACTTGACAATAAATATGGATAAATATCGTAATGAATTTGAAATTCAAATGGAATGAGAGCCTATTGTTTAAAGCTTAATAATTAAGTGATTTAATTTATTGTGTAAAGATTTTATAAAAAGCATAAGTTATTTTCTATTTGATTGCAATAATAAAAATTATTTATTATTTAATCATTTTCATACTCTATGATGCCTTCTTATATCTCTACTCTTAAAAAAAGATATGTAAATTGGCCCACCGGTTGAGAAAAATCTTGTGCCCAGATATATGGATCAAAATTTTGAAAATTTGGGAGTATGGCTTGTTCACATTGATATACAAGGGATATATCATTAAAATTTTGAAAAATTATAAGGAGCTTATCATTGATATATAATGGTATATTATTGACAAATATAATAAATCGGCTATAGTGCAAAATATAATAAATATTGCAAAAACCTCAAAAATGATTTATTATTAAGTGATGTTTCTTATTTGATGATATGTCCATGTATCTCTATTTTTGAACATTCTCTCTTATCTAGGAGGTCTAGTTATATTTAGAAGCTAACCAATGTAGCTTCTCAAAATCAACAAGTCTTGTCTCTCTAGGCAGGGCTGGCTATATGGATTGCATGATGCTATTATGTTCTATTAACAACCAAATTTTTGGATATATTGTTCACCAAAAGGTTTTGTTCAATAACTTCTATGGGTGTTTTCTTGAGGCCTTCCTCTACCTCTTTACAAGACTAAAGGTTGTTTGTTCAACCTCTTCACTGGCACCTTCAATGGTCTTTTTCATACATATTTGAAGCATCTTAAATAATTTTTCACCTTTTTCTCCTTAATAGATACTGCGCCAACTCTTCTTTATATATGATCATTACAAATTTTATTAGCATCCTCATCTGTACTACTCCAACTATATTCATGTTGTCTCTTTAATGTCCAAAACTCAATATCATATGGCATAATTGCTCCTATAGCAGTTTGATAAAATTTTCCTTTTAGCTTATTAGACACTTTCTAATCACAAATAATTTTATTTTTGTGAAACATCCCCACCAATTTCACCATCATTTTGCATAGTCAATCCCAAATACCTGAACTTTGACTCCTGTGGGTTGAGCTGATCTCCTATTTTGACCTCCAAATCATTTTTAACTTGCCTTGTATCAAACTCTTGTGCATATATTCTAAAAAGCTTAAGCAATCATTGTAAAATTTCTGAAAAGTGATCTCTCTGTTTTTTAAAATATATTATTTCATGAAATTCGATCAAATAAATGCGCCTTTTATGTGAAATTATTTCAAGATTAAAGTTGGGGAGTAGATGTGATTTAGAGCAACTAAGAAAAGAGGGAAAAGAAGATTGAGAGAGATAGCAGTTGGTAGGGAATTATGGAAAATGAATGATCTGAATTTCAAACCATTATTGTCTAAGAAAAGGGTATAACTTCTCTTTATAGGAAACCCCAAAGACAATATCTTGAAATAAAATGACGCCTAATAAAGGAAATGAAGTAAATCAGATAATAAGTTACTAAAAAGTTTCCCATCATTTTTGCTCCAGTTTGAAAGAACTCTCCTTTCGAGAAGAATCTAAATGGAGAAACTCTCAAAAGAAATGATTTGAAAAATAAATATCCGTACTTCAAATACTAATTAAAGATGGATAACTATCTTAATAAGTTTGAAATGTAATTTTAACTAATATTAAATTCTCCAATTGATTCAAGATTTTACAGCCTGCATCCATCTAGCGAGTCTATGACATTTGTTCAGACCTTCACTTATGTTTGTGCATATTTATATGAACATCATACTGCATAGACTCTGGAATTCTGTCTAACAAGTACTGTTTCAATTGAACAGGATATCTTGTTACATGTCTTAATGACATCAGAGTTATCTTGATCCGAATCTTATCCCCAAATGAAAGCATATATGGAGACAAAAGAAAATTGTTTGTCAGTCTGATGGAACCAACCATTGAGTATGTTATGAATTGCATATTTAAGGGGATGTCTCAGGTATGTAGTAATGATTCCTTTTGCAAGAAGAATTGTTCAAAGTTTTCATTATTATAATGATAATTAAATTAAATTCTATAATTTAATCAGCAAAAAGAAATGAAGAAAAACAGTCGGACAGTGTTTTTGCATGCCTTTATCCTCATTTTATCCTTTATATTGTTTTGATGTCATATTTCTGTCTTGAAGATGCAAATCAGTGATGTTCTTACTGAGCTTGGATTGAGGAAGAAACAACAGTCTTCTGGCAGTGTCACTTGTGTTTCCGTTTTTCTACATCATTTATTGAAGGAACTCCCAATTGAAGTAATTTTCTCAAATATTATTGAAATCCTTCATCTCATTGAGTGTAGCAAGGATAAATCCTTTGATCAGGTATAATGCATTTGCTAGGTGTATTCTACCCGAAATGCTACTTCACTTCTTGGAAGTTGTTGTTTTATTATTCCTTTGGCTTTATGCAGCATATGAATTACAGATTGCTTGGATTCAGGCTTAATGAAAGGAGGTGCTCGTATGACATTGCCAAAACTGTCCTTGATAAAGTCATTCAGGTATTATACATTTCTGTTCTGGTTTCACCATTTAAGAGTTGGGTTGTCACTTTCTTTGAATATTATTTTATATTCCACGTCTCTTTGTTGATTTGAAGGGAGGACATTGTATTTTCTATAATTCTCTAGGGTGGGCAAGGATGAGCTGGAGATTGGTGATTTATTCTAGTAAAAAGTTATTTGGAATGCATGGAAGGGGTGCAAGATTTAGCTCCTCCGCCACTCATTTTGATTGCATGTAGTCAGCATCTCTAGGTGGGTTTTCTTATGTAAAACATAAATTGAGGAAAAGACAGCTGAGTATCTTTGGTGAACTCAGTACTTTATTCAGTTAGGGTTTAAATAACATAACAGTGAGGCAACAAGTCTGCCTCCTAGCCCTAATCCCATAAAATCTGATTCTGATTGAGGAAATCAGATCTATCTAAATCAATATATTGTGATAAAGGGGGTGCGAGATTTAGCTCCTCCGCCACTCATTTTGATTGCATGTAGTCAACATTTCTAGGTGGGTTTTCTTATGTAAAACATAAATTGAGGAAAAGAAGGCTGAGTATCTTTGGTGTGTTCTTTACTCAGTTAGGGTTTAAATAACATAACAGTGAGGCAACAAGTCTACCTCCTAGCCCTAATCCCATAAAATCTGATTCTGATTGAGGAAATCAGATCTATCTAAATCAGATCTATCGAAATCAGATCTAATTCTACTAACTACTTTTGAAATAATTAAAAATAATAGAAACAGATAAAAGGGCTGAGCCCTGCAAACAAACTAAAATAAAGGAAATAAAAAAAATCACTTTAAATAAAGAGAACAACCGTTGTGACTTCCAACAAAAGCTGACCTGTCAATTTCTATCTAAATGGATAATACAACAACAACAACAACAACAACAAGCCTTTATCCCACTTGGTGGGGTCGGCTACATGGATTGCAAGACGCCATTGTGCTCTATCATTTATCAAGCTTTTAGGAATATTATTAATTAAGAGATCGCGTTCAACAACTTCCAAGAGTGTTCTCTTAGGCCTTCCTCTACCTCTCTTAATCGGACTCAAAGTTATATGTTCCACTCTTCTCACTGGTGCCTCCCTTGGTCTTCTTTGTACATGCTCAAACCATCTCAACCGATTTTCTACCATTTTTTCCTCAATAGGTGCCACCCTCACTTTTTCGCGTATGTGCTCATTTCGAATTTTATCTTTACGTGTATGTCCGCACATCCATCGTAACATTCTCATCTCTGCTACTTCCAACTTTATGCTCTTGCTGTCCCGTTAGAGCCCAGCATTCACTACTATATAACATTGCCGGTCTGATAGCAGTGCGATAAAACTTTCCTTTAAGTTTATTAGGCACCTTACGGTCACAGATAACTCCTTTAGCTTTTCTCCAATTAAACCACCCAGCTTGAATTCTATGTGAAATATCTCCACTGATTTCGCCATCATTTTGAATAATGGCTCCCAAATATCTAAACTTTTCCACTTGAGGTATAATTTGATCTCCCAATTTCACTTCCAAATTATTTTTGAATAGTCCTTTACCAAATTTACAATATAAATATTCCGTCTTACTTCTACTCAGACGAAAACCTTTCGACTCCAATGTCCTCCTCCATAACTCAAGTTTGCAATTAACCTCTTCTCTTGTCTCTGCTATAAGAACTATATCATCCGCGAAGAGCATACATTTCGGGATTTCCTCTTGAATATGTTCCGTCAAAACATTTAAAATCAAGTTGAACAAATAAGGACTCAGAGATGATCCCTGATGTAGTCCAATCTTTATAGGAAAATCCTTTGTTTGACCACTAGGCGTTCTTATACTAGTTTTTACCCCCTCATACATATCTTGTATGGCTTTAATATAAGCAATCCGTACTCCCTTTTTTTCCAACGCTTTCCAAAGCACTTCTCTTGGTATACGGTCATAAGCTTTTTCCAAATCAATAAAAACCATGTGTAGATCTTTATCTTTACAACGATACTTTTCCATTAATCCTCCTTAGTAGATAAATCGCCTCTGTAGTTGATCTACCTGGCATAAAACCAAACTGATTCTCAGAAATACTTGTCTCCAATCTCAACCTGTGCTCAATTACTTTCTCCCACAATTTCATTGTGTGGCTCATGAGTTTAATCCCTCTATAGTTAGTACAATTCTGAATATCTCCTTTATTTTTATAAATAGGAATTAATGTACTTCTCCTCCACTCATCAGGCATTTTTTTGGACCGTAAAATCACATTAAATAACTTAGTTAACCATCTCACCCCTTCTTCACCTAAACATTTCCACGCTTCGATAGATACACAATCAGTCCGTTGGCTCTACCATTTGCCATTTTCTTAAGAGCTTCCTTTACCTCCTTATCACGTATTATTCGATAGAATGACAAATTTTGTTCTCCTTTACCAGTTATTAAATCCTCCAAGTTACTAGATGAATCCTCTCCATCATTGAAAAGTTTAGAAAAATAAGTCTCCCATCTATTTTAATTTCATCATCTGTAATTAAAATTCTTCCCTCTTCATCCTTAATACACCTTACCTGTTCTAGATCTCTTGATTTTCTTTCCCTACTCTTGGCAATCTTATAAATATTTTGCTCTCCTTCCTTCGTCTCAAGGTTCTTATAAAATTCTTCAAAAGCTTTAGAACGAGCTTCACCCACAGCTCTCTTAGTTTCCTTCTTAGCCATACGGTACCTCTCCCAATTTTCCTCATTGTTACACAAATGTATGGCTTTAAAACAGTTCTTCTTATACTTGATTTTGTCCTGTACACTATTATTCCACCACCAAGACTCCTTATCTCTCGGACCAGAACCTTTCGATTCTCCCAAAACTACTTTTGCAACCTCCCGTATCTTTTTCGCCATATCCTCCCATATGATGTTAGCACTTCCCTGAGAGTCCCAAATTCTTTTACCCAAAAGATTTCGCTTGAAAATATCTTGCTTCTCACCTTTTAATTGCCACCACCTAATCCTTGGTGTTACTACTTGTCGACGTTTTTGGATTTTACTCATAATACACACATCAAGGACTAGGACCCTATGTTGTGTCGTTACAGCATCTCCGGGGATCACCTTACAATTTTTACAAAGTTTTCTATCTGTGTTCCTAACCAAAAAAAAATCAATCTGTGACCTTGAGGCTCCACTTTTGTGAGTGATGAGATGCTCATCTCTCTTCTTGAAACAAGTGTTGGCAATCTTAAAATCATACGCCAATGAGAAATCAAGAAGAGTTTGTCCTTCATTGTTTAGCTCTCCAAAACCAAAACCACCATGCACCCTCGCATACTGACCAGCTTCCCTCCCGACATGCCCATTAAAGTCTCCTCCAATAAAAATCTTTTCACTCTGTGGTATGTGTCGAATCAACCCCTCCAGATCCTCCCAAAATAATTCCTTAAGACTGGCTTCTGTCCCGACTTGCGGCGCATAAGCGCTAACAATATTAACAGTCTCACGTCCAATTATCATTTTTAAAGAAATAATTCTGTCTCCAATTCTGCTAACTTCTACAACGTTCTTCTTCCACTCCTTACCTATAATGATGCCTACTCCATTGCGTGCACTTACTTTTCCTGTATACCAAAGTTTGAAACCTTGAATATCCTTAGCTTCTTCTCCACGCCATTTTGTTTCTTGCAAGCAAAGGATATTGATTTTCCTTTGAATCATAACCCCTACAACCTCTACAGATTTACAATTTAATGTCCCAACATTTCAAGTACCAAATCTAATTTTGCTCTTATGGACTAACTTCTTTAGCCGCGTGCGTCCAGAATGACGCGGTAGCCCTTGCTCATTTAACACTACATCCGGGCGCCGATGCAGCGGCTCTAACTCACTTATCACTGTACTCGAGCTATGCAGCGCGTTACTTACGGGCAACGACCTAGCATTAACATTATAACGTCTATTGTCCATGTTCATGATAGATTCAACAAATTTTTACATTGGCTGTTGATGGCCTAACACAACCCTCCTCCTTTACCCGGGTTTGGGACCGGCTATAAATATAGGCGGAGTTATCTAAATGGATAATATTGTGATAAATCTCACAAATGAGGATTGTGACATATGAAAATTCTGTTAGTAAATGGGTTTGATTTAGAGAGATAATATGTGAATTTGGTGTGATCTCACTCTAATGATCCTAAGCAAGATTACACACCAGCAAATATCAGTCAGATTACATCAGCAAATAAGTAAACGTATATATCAGTCAGATCCCTAGCTAGATTGTGTTTGTATTTATGGCCGTCTCATCACAGTAGAGCTTGATAGTCTAGATACTTCTAACATGGATGCTTAAAAAAAGTAAACGTATCTATATCCTATATGTATATGATGTGATACTTGTAGGATACTTAAACACCTATATTATAATATTTGTAATATGATTATTTGGCTTTTTACTATAACATGTATTTATTGTTAAGGGGTAGAATGATAGTTAGGTTTCAAAAGATTGATTAAATAACAATTAGGTCCTCGACAAAGTCTATATAGTCAAGATCTTTCATCATATTCATATCTTTTCTTTTGATGGCAATGGCAGGTCATTGAGCAGTATGATAGCTTACTCGAGTACTTAAAGGTTGTAGATGCTTATGCAGATCTCATTCTTCAGAATCGGATGGTATGTTTGAATGACTAGGAGCAATCCAACACCTATTAATGCCATCAAGAAAATTGGATTTTTTTTTTATTTCTTTAGAATGAAAAAAAGCAACATGTACGTGAAAGATCTCAGAGCACAAGTCTGTCGGTGGATCCCATGAATTGAGCAATCGTAAATGACATCAGAGTTGAATTAAAAGTTTGAATTGAGCAATCATAGGTGACATCAGAGTTGAAATCATAAATGAATATAGGAGGTAGTCTGGCAAAGGAAGTTGTTGGTTTTTCTTTCTTTCCGAAAATGGTTGGGCATGCAAAAATTACTTATTTTATTAAATAACAGAGGAACTCATACATAGAGTGGCGGAGGTATCATAAACAGGATCGCTTAATTCTCTCCAAGAACATGGAAATAATTAAAAATTGTTCTAGGAATAATAAGCAGACAACAATATCAACTATAAACATAAGGATAGAGCTTTAAAGGATAAGTTAGGGTTATGTAGTCATCATACCAATTAGACATAAGCCCACTTCCAAACACTTTCTTTCATCCATTCTTTTCTTCCTTCATTCTTTATTTATATATTTTCTTGAAAAATAAGTCACATGACATAAAATACATGTTTAGTCAGACCTTAAATGATAAAATCATACTTGAATTTGTAGTCATAATGAGATCAGAGTTGAATTTCAACAAATACTTTCTTTTGTTTTTCCCTAAACATGGGCCCTTATGCCAGGATAATATTCTAATCACCATTTTAGAAAGCATATCCCGATATGCATATAAAGGGGTTATAGAAGATGAAATGCTAAGCTTGCAGTCTCTATTGGTGAAGCTTCTTTCTCATTTCACATGCCTGGAAGATGTATTTGCGCTGGTATTTCCTATAGTCTTTTTTCTTTTCATTTTGAACAACAAATGAATCCTAAAAAGTGATTGGTTTAATTGTTATTCTTTCATAGAATCACTTTCCTGAAGTTTTAGATATAACGCATGGGAACACACGGACTGTTGTCTTTATTCGCATCCTTGATATCGCAACAAGGTACCTTTTGTCAAGAAATTTATGTTCTTATCCTTTATCTATCTTGTAAAAGTTCTGATTTTCTAGGTCCTTTCAGATGTGATCACCTCATTGGCCTTGATACCAACTTGCATTGTGTTTGATATGATTCTTTGTTCAATGTAGATATGGGAATGGAAATAAGGTTCCAATATATACATTTGCAAACTTGCCAAATATACCAAAGCAAGCTATCCTATGAATACATGCACGCCCTCACAATCCTTCCACTTCATTCATAGTGAGCTGCTGGGTGCCTCTACAATCAAAGGCATAACTGATGTAGATAGTTCATAACCTTTGTCCATAAAAAATGCTCAGATTTAATCTTTCGTCTTATAAAGAAACAATCAACTTAAAATGCTTGGTGCTCATATAAAACTAGATTGGAAGCAATATTCATCATTTCTTGGTTGTCACAAATCAACTCCACTTGATTAATAATTCCAACCTCAATTCTCGAAAGGTTGCTTCAACCAAACAAGTTCACATATTGCTAGGCCATGGCATGTTATTCAGCTTTTGTGCTGGAATATGCAAGCACATATTGTTTCTGGCTTATCTAGGAGGCTAAATTATCACTAATAAGCACACAATATCCTAAAATAGATAATCTATAATAGGAGATACAGCACAGTTTGCGTTACTATAGCCAATTATTGGAGTATTGCCTTTATCTTCATATTGTAATCTGGCTAGGAGCTCCTCTTATCACCACATGCAAATGACTATCACACAAAGATGATAAGGACTGACTACATACACTCAAAAGCAAGTGAGAAAACTGGGTGAGTGATGTTGAGGTAGTTAAGTTTTTCATTTAGTATTAACATGTTTGCAGTCTAACATGCTTGTTTTGCTGCTCACTGTGTCTATGTGTTGAGAATCAAAATATTCTCCTTTCGGACCACAATATGAGCCATAGTTAACTAATTCATGATTTACGAACAAAGTTAGTTGAAACTTTAAATTCTTAAAAATGTTCATTTCTTTCCTTTTATACTATCATTAAATATTTTATATAAGAGTCTTGATAATAGTAATTAAAATTCTAATGCGTGATTTTTTTTTTTCAAAAAAGAGTAATAAATGAAGTAGGGGTATAGCTGAAAAAACAAATATAGAAGTTATCCAATGTCCTATATTTTGGACCATGCAAGGTTTCTAGAAGATATCTTATATCATGGTTAGGAGGGAGTATATCGTATTTATTGTACAATATTAGGGCTGACTAAATTCTCGTTAAGTAGATCGTGTATCTTTTGTCATTATTACTCTTTATTTCTTTGTCTTATATATACCATTATAAATGAGACAGATTGTAGTTCAATACATTCACTAACTAGTTTTCATATTTCTCACTATTCACATAGTACCAGAGCCACGGTTATGATTTTTTTTTCCAGGTTGTGTCTCCTTCCAACCTTTTCCTTTTTTTCTGGAAAAAATAAATAAATCAGAGTCACTGTTTGCTCAACCGTTCAGATGTACCACTGCTAGAAGCTCTATCGATGACATGCGCCCTACCACTATGTTCGGAAGCCGCCAATCAATTAGATCTTGAAGTCGGCCACCATCTGCCATGACACATGCTCCCACATGCCATCGAGACTCCCTGCCCAATCTTGCTAAGAAGATTAAGGTTTTTTTTTTGGTTGTGTGTGGAAAAACAGAAGGGCTGGAACGAAGCACAATCCTAAAAAAAATCAGAACAGTGGCTCTGATACCATTTGAATAGAGAGATGTGGGAAAAGAAGTTTGTGAATATACTAAGCTACATTCTATTTTATTTATAATCATATACACAAGACACATGAGTAAAGAGAAATAATGACTAAAATGTATACTGATCTTCGTAAGAAGAGTTTAGTTAGCCCTAATATCATACAATAAATACAATATGTATTTTGATTCTCAACCTATTGTGTTCATTGTATTATATTAGGGTTGACTAGATGCTTGCTAGGCATATCAGTATATATCTTGTCATTATTACTCTTTATTTCTTTTTCTTGTTTATGCAATTATAAATAAGACAGATTGTAGCTCTATATTTTCACTGACTACTTTTCAAATCTCTCTCTATTCACATATACCATGTTTCCTTTGGGATATGGCAATCCTAGTAGAAGATTGGGCCACCTCACATATCAAAATGTATTTAAACCCATATCCTTAGATTCAAAGGAAGAGAATAAGTATTATGTTGAATGTTGCCATCTTGATCAATGATAATGTCATCTACATAAACAACTAGGTGGTTGCATTGAGTAGACAAGATCAGGTGATAGAACCACCTTGCTATGAACCACCCCAAATATCTTAACAATTGAGCTAAATTTGCAAACCGATAAGGGGATATTTTTGACCCATAAGTAGATCGATATAGTTGATGAACCTTGCTGGACATCCTTTCTGCACCAAAATGCAAAGTAAATGGTTGCTCCATTTAAATCCTTTTAGATAAATTGCATTGTGCCGCCTATTTTTCAAAAAAGTAATTTTCAGTCTGGTTATCTCCAAATCTATGCGCTTCTGACATACACAAAACAGCTTTTTGCACTCATTTAGGCCACTACTAATTTTTGGTCATGCCTCTTGCCTTGGAATGATGTATTCCGTCCATACTAAAGGAAATTTGTTCTTGTCTTTTATGACATTCTGGTATATAGCTCTTCTCCTCAACAACGTGGAGATTTGGTATGCAACTCATTGAGATTTCAGAGTTACTTATCCAATGGGAAATTGACCTGTTGAAGATACAAGTTGGGAGGATCATGACCTTCTTTAAGCTCAATTTCCTAATTTCCAACGTGAGGACAAGTTGAGTTTGTTGGGGGGGGGGGAGTTATTAAATGGCAACAAATCTAGTAGATATCCTTCTCTAGACCTAGCAAAATTTAGTATCGAAGCCCCTAGGTTTAATATAATCCTACAGCAATTATATTTTCAAGCTTGAGCATTAATCATTTATTCTTATTTTAACACATGTTGGTCATGTTTTTATGCAATTATTTATTCCCTTTGATGGAGTTTTGAACTGCTTGTCATTAACTTGTAGGCTTCTCCTTTGTCTACACTCTACATTTTGTTTAGTCTTTTCCATTTGTAAAATTTAATTATGTGATCAATAAACTAGACAAGATACTCTTAATTTCATTTGATAAGAATTGTATTTTATGGTTATTTGTTAAGCAGGAATTGTCACACAAGACACCCAACAACCATACAGTTGCTTTTTGAAATTTCTCAGACCCTACATGATGATATGGAATTTATGAATGTTAAAGATGATGATAGCCATGTGTCTCGGCTGATCTCTTGCTTTGTTCACATGGTAAATTTTGTTATATACTTCTTTGTGGTAATTATTGTGCAGGGATTATGATTATTTTCTTGCTTATATTCACTAGGTAGATTATGGAGCTGATGTGGAGAGCCATTTAGCGTTTTTGGTTGATTGCAGAGGAGCTTTCAGTAGATTAGAGGAAATTAAGGTTGTTATTTTTGTCCTCCTAGTGCATCAAAGATAAAGCATCAAATTTTTATTTCAAGTTATATCATTTTCCATCTGATATTGCCTATCATGTCATAAATAGAGTAGTTAATTAAATACTTGGCAGCACCACCTCCCATGTTTGGAAGAGATCTGATGCTCAATCACAGCATCGACATGTTTGTGTTTGTGTGTGTCTGTGTCTAATTTGATTGTATCCAAAAAAGTACAGTGATACTTGGTGAAACTAGGCAGAAATCTGACAAGGGATTGGCTGTTGGGCTTGATTACTCAACATCATGTAGTAGCACAATGATAGTACAATAGCACAAAAGTACAATGATAGTAGCAAAGAGTAGAAAAATTACAATGAATCTAGACACTATTCAACCCTATGCACATTGTGGTGATACTTTACTACTCTGACATGGTTTTATTGCCTTAAAACCATGTTACACTTGGGGTATGTGATAACTAAGTTAAGTGGCATCTCTAGTGAAGTATTTCTCCTCTTCTCCACAACCCCTAATAAACATCAAGGTAACTGAAAACCGTAAGAGGTAATTATTGCAATTCAGTTGATGGCATATGATCGCTTCGTGGCCTTTATAGCCATGGAGGGAGCTTTTAGTTTACAAAGCTATTTATCTGGTTTAAGGCTGATCCCATTGTGTCAATGTTGTTGATTTGTACACTAATGCCTCATTTGATAGCAGGGAATTAAGGGGGGAGAAGTGGAAGTAGAAGTGGAATTCAAAATTTAGTATTTGGTACGCTTGAAGTGGCTTCTCAAAGAACTCAGTTCCATCAAATTTGATGGAACTGTGTTCCACACCCAGACCCTAAGAACTGGGTTCCACTTTGAAATTTCGTATCTGACCATTTTACCCCATCACCTTCTCTGCTAAAACAACCAAAGGATGATGAAGAAGATGAAGGACTATGTTCTCTTATAAAACAACCTACAAATTTAATTTTTATATTTGATTCCATGAATTTTTGTTCTTCATTAGTGGTTCATGACGGTTCTCTCATGGATCCAGATCTAACTCCTCATCTTCTCTCTGCATAGGTCCATGCCTTCCCATGTTTTTTAAATTTTGTTCCATGAATTATTTAAACTTTGTTCCAGTCTTTCGTTTTTCTTCTGAATGGTGATTCACAGCAAGGAAGGGGTTTGGCTACGAGGATTCAGAGGGTTCATATTGCAGAAGTTTTTTTTTTTTTTCTTTTATTTCTTTCTTTTTCCCCCCTTGAAATCTGGCTCATGTGCTCCCTGAAAGTGGAAGTTCATGTTTATTGGGTTTGTTGGGTGTTGAATATTTTGGATCATGTTCATGCTTGATGCAGGGCGGGCTGGGAAGATGCGGAAGAGGATGGAGCTTTTTTTTTTTTTTAAATAAATTTTATGGGTAATTTGGATTTTTTAAAAAATAACTATATTTATTAAATAAATCTTTTATCCTACTTCCATCTTCATAGCATAAATACTTTTATACCCAATTTCACTTCCACATCCACTTTTATTTCCACTTCCACTTCCACTAAAAACACTTCTTTGTACCAAATGGGGCATAAGGGACGACAAACAGGAACAAACTGAGTGCATGTTCTTTCATTAGAGGTGTTGGGATATTGGTTAGAGGGAAGACTAGTCTGATCCCACTACCAAAGGAAAAATATCATATCGCATCCTAGTTCCAAGAAAATTAAGGAAATTCACAAAAGTGAAAAATAAAAAGCATATTGACAGGAAAAAAGGAAATGAAAATGACAAAATACTAATTATCATATCAAGAATATCTACAAAAATTTGATGCTAGCAAATTAATATTATTAGAAATGGCAACACATTTAAGAGGGGGGTGAATTGAGTGTTTGTCAAAATTTTTAGTTCATTTTAAACTTTCTTGGAAAGTAGAGACTAATTGGGGTATATTAGGATATAAATAACAAGAAAATAGAGTTCTCACTAATGAATAAACAACAACAACAATGATGACTACAACAATAATAAACAACATGGAAAAGACGCGCTAACACAATGGTTGGATAAGTTTACTTCCATATGACCTAAAGAACGTTCATATTGATGTAGTCATTAATGCTTTCTTGTAGGAAACTCTTGTTCACTCCAGCAACTGTTTAGCTATTCATGCATTGAGGTCTAAAAAGCATCTCAGTTTTGTTAAATCCTGCATAACATTTAGTGAGATCACGGTACTTTCTATTTCTGCTCAGAGGAGGCAATTTGATCTTCTTCTAGAGACAGCCGAGGTATATTCATATTTGGCATTTAAAAATGTTACATGTTTTTTTTTCCCCTTTGCGTGAAGTGTATTCATGCTTGCATATTTCAGGTTGCTTTAATAGGGGGCTTGTTTTCTCATTCAGATGAACTCATTGACTCAGCAATTGGCTGTTTGCAGAGTTCAGACATAAGAGACGGTTAGTTTTCATGCTTTATTGTGTGAAGTTACTTGATTAAAGAGATGAGGAGATGGCAGAAAAGGTTGTAAATCAACTATATACTACTAAATATTTATTGTATTATTTTATTAAATTTTGACACTATTCTTATGAATTATCAAACTAGGCGTAATTCTTGTTCTTGAGAAACCCTCATGCAATTGGCACTGAAAACTAATTAATTCAGCAGTTATATGTAATGTCTTATATCCTTAGGCTCTGTTCTCATTGATTTGAAACATTGTTGTGTTGATATTTTCAGTTTCTTTCTTTCTAATTTCTAGTGATTTTGTTGACCAGTAGAACTGAATGATAAATGACTCAAGATTCAACGGACATTTTCCCTTTTCAGAGTTCCCGTGTATATTGTGCATTATGTCTGTAATCCTAGAGGAAGAGGAATAACTTTTCTATTAGTAGTGACAAGGGGTAGTGTTGGTCTCATGGTTATATGGTCATTGGCTCCAAAGTCAATGACCCAATAGTCAAGAGAATATTTATTTACAGCATTAGAAACAGACGAAGATTGAGAAGAAATTCCTAAAAACACCAAAGAATGTGTATCTACTCTGGAGTTTTCTCTAGCATCTCCAAAATTTCCTCATTTCGTTGTCAATGAACTTGACCAACCAGGACATGATTGTTTTGTTCTTTTGCCTTCCAAACTACATATTTTTGAGGCCTTAATTTCTTGAGGAATGGTAACTTCAATGGGGTAGTTATCTTACTGACTTAACAAACAATAACAACAACAAGCCTTTATCCCACTAGGTGGGGTCGGCTACATGGATTGCAAGACGCTATTGTGCTCTATCATTTATCAAGCTTTTAGGAATATTATTAATTAAGAAATCACGTTCAATAACTTCCAAGAGTGTTCTCTTATGCCTTTCTCTACCTCTCTTAATTGGACTCAAAGTTATTCTCACTGGTGCCTCTCTTGGTCTTCTTTGTACATGCCCAAACCATCTCAACCGATTTTCTATCATTTTTTCCTCAATAGGTGCCACCCTCACTTTTTTGCGTACGTGCTCATTTTGAATTTTATCTTTATGTGTATGTCCGCACATCCATCGTAACATTCTCATCTCTGCTACTCCAACTTTATGCTCTTGCTGTCCCGTTAGAGCCCAGCATTCACTACTATATAACATTGCCGGTCTGATAGCAGTGCGATAAAACTTTCCTTTAAGTTTATTAGGCACCTTACGGTCACAGATAACTCCTTTAGCTTTTCTCCAATTAAACCACCCAGCTTGAATTCTATGTGAAATATCTCCATTGATTTCGCCATCATTTTGAATAATGGCTCCCAAATATCTGAACTTTTCCACTTGAGGTATAATTTGGTCTCCCAATTTCACTTCCAAATTATTGTCGAATAGTCCTTTACCAAATTTACAATATAAATATTCCGTCTTACTTCTACTCAGACGAAAACCTTTCGACTCCAATGTCCTCCTCCATAGCTCAAGTTTGCAATTAACCTTTTCTCTTGTCTCTGCTATAAGAACTATATCATCCGCGAAGAGCATACATTTCGGAATTTCCCCTTGAATATGTTCCGTCAAAACATTTAAGATCAAGTTGAACAAATAAGGACTCAGAGATGATCCCTGATGTAGTCCAATCTTTGTAGGAAAATCCTTTGTTTGACCACTAGGCATTCTTATACTAGTTTTTACCCCCTCATACATATCTTGTATGGCTTTAATATAAGCAATCCGTACTCCTTTTTTTTTCCAACGCTTTCCAAAGCATTTCTCTTGGTATACGGTCATAAGCTTTTTCCAAATCAATAAAAATCATGTGTAGATCTTTATCTTTACAACGATACTTTTCCATTAATCCCCTTAGTGGATAAATCGCCTCTGTAGTTGATCTACCTGGCATAAAACCAAACTGATTCTCAGAAATACTTGTCTCCAATCTCAACCTGTGCTCAATTACTTTCTCGCACAATTTTATTATGTGGCTCATGAGTTTAATCCCTCTATAGTTAGTACAATTCTGAATATCTCCTTTATTTTGATAAATAGGAATTAATGTACTTCTCCTCCACTCATCAGGCATTTTCTTGGACCGTAAAATCACATTAAATAACTTAGTTAACCATCTCACCCCTTCTTCACCTAAACATTTCCACGCTTTGATAGATATATAATCAGGTCCATTGGCTCTACCATTTGCCATTTTCTTAAGAGCTTCCTTTACCTCCTTATCACGTATTATTCGATGTGAATTTCAGGAAATTCTGTTCTATATTGCATTTATCATATCGAGAAATACACACACACACACACACACACATATCGGGAAGACAAATACAAGATATCAGATGCTCAATCCCACAAATCATGGAGGAAAATCAAACAAAATAAGAAGCAAGATAACATAGGAAATAGAACTAAATCCGAAACAAGAAAACTGAAATCTAAGAGATATTCCGAATATAGTCTTTCTATAATAGATAAATAATAAAAATGGAGTAAACTCTATAATAATAAAGGACTTGGTTATTGGGTCCCATGAGAAAAGCTATACCTCAAGCTGGTTCATATGTGTTGATCATTCCCAGCTGCCAGTTAGCTCTTCAAATCTCACGCTTAAGAGTGCCTTTGTCATCATATCTACAACTTGAGAATTTGAGGACACAAAATCCAAATTAACACTGCCTAACTATATCTTCTGTTTTATAAAGTGATGATCAATTCTCACATGCTTTGTATAGTTATAATGTATTGGGTTTTATGCTATCCTCATAGTGGTGTATTATCGCACAACAATTTCATGGGCTTTAAGACATCCACCTTCAACTCCTTTTATAACCTTTTATCCACATCCCCTCAAATTCCTAGAGCCAATGCTCTCTATTTTGCCTCTCCTACCATGGGCTATTCCTTGCTTCTCCGTCTAACAAAATTACCCCACATGTAAGTGCAATAAATGCCCTGTGGTAGACCTTCTATCAGATATTGAGCCTGCCTAGTCAACAGCTAATTGTACTTCCACACCCCTATCATGTCCTTTTGAAAATAACAATCATCGATGTCATCTTTAGGCATCTCCATAGACTATGTCCAAGTGTTGCTCTTATGGGTTGCTAATGAACTACCTTACCATGCTGAAATCTTATGTTTGGTCGAGTATCTAACAAATATATCAATTTGTAATACTCTAGCATCTTGTAGCCACAAGAGTCCCAATCTTGCATCAAGCTTCAAAATTTAAAGGGGTGTATTAGAACAGTTATTCTTTTATTTATTTCGTAGATATTATAATATCATTTGTATTGTAGACATGGTGTAATATAGAGATTGGGCATTAACATTATAATGGAATCCAACCAAGTAACACAGTAAAGAACAAGGAAACAAACAATGACAAACTGACAGTGTTAAAATGTGTAGTTAATTGGGTAAATTTATTTTATTCCTTTAGCAGATAGATATTAGTTGGTGGTTAGAGGTTAATATACCATGTATTAATATACTCTTATAAATATCACAGCAAGCTCTTGTAAATATTGAGAGAAATAATGAAGAGTATTTTTTTCACCAAATTTGTCATGCTATCAAAGCCCTATTTGAGGTTCGGAGTTTTTGAAGTTGGGTTCAATGTTTTGCCTTAGGGTTCAGTACTGTTTTTGTGCGTTAGGGCAAACCCACTATTGCTGGTGACTATTTTGCCTACACGCGCCGGACCATAGCTTTCGCTTGTAGCAAACTAGTTGAACCTAGAAGTCTGACCACCGTCCGCTACAACACATGCTGCTCAAATTAATCTTCTTAATGCTGCATTTTCGGTGCGTGGGAGTGCATCTGAGCTCTATTTGGTCTTTGGTCACCTTCATTCTACTTAGAATCTCCTCTCCTTGTTTTAGTCATGTCCAACTAACAAAACATGTCTGATAGTACTAGGCCTTCCTTGTTTGGGTTTTTTGGGGGAGTTGCCAAGTGTTCCGGTTGCTTATTGATTGACTAGAGCCAACTTTGTAGCTTAGTCTCAATATGTTCGTACCTTTTTAAAAGGCCGAGGGAAGCTTAGTCATTTACTTGGGACTAGCCCTATGTGAGGAGAACCCAAGTTCAATGCTTGGAATGAAGTTGACTCAATGGTAATGTCTTTGGCTGTGGCAATCTATGGCCTTAGAAGTTAGTTGCATGTGTTTGTTTTTGTCCTAGGCTAAGTAGATTTGGGATATGATGCATTAGACTTACTCAAAGGTGAAGGATGTTGTCCAAATTTATGAGATATGAACCAAGATTTCCGATACCAAATAGGGCAGTAAATATATCATTGAGTACTCTACCCTTATGAAGAGTCTATGGCAAGAATTAGCCACTATCAGTGTATTATTTTGAAAGATCTTGATGATGTAGCTACCTTTAAACACTTCATTGAGAAGTAGAGAATTTTTGAGTATCTTGTTGGACTTAATTCAGAGTTTGATCCTATAAGAGTTCTAATCCTTGGTCGGGAAGATGTTCCCCCTCTTAATGAGACTATTGCTATTGTATTAGCAAAAGAAGGCCGTTGAGGAGTGAAGATGGAAACTCCACTTGTGGAAAGTTTTGCTTTGATTTCAGGGAATATTGCTTCTCGTTCTGTGGAGGATGAAAAATGAGGAGACTCTTCCAAGAAAGAACCTGTTCGGTGCTCTTATTGCAAGAAGTTGTGGCACGCCAAGGAAAAGTGTTGGAAGCTGAATGGTAAGCCTCCAAATATGGAAAAAGGACAAGCTCATGTGGCCATTGATTTTACCAAGGGAAATTCTAGTTAGTCTCATCTTAAGGGGGAGATTGAGAAACTTAGATCTTTGTTGGAGTCACTTGATAAAGCGACTACTTCTAGTTTTGGTACAGGTATTTGTTCTTTAAGGTTCTCAGGCATCTCCTTTCAACTTTTATTTGTATTATTTTCACCTGTATTTATTGCCTCAAAACAACATTTTCTTCATTATTGGATTGTGGATTCTG